ATTGGTTACATTATAGATTGTATTCATCACTTCTTGAAACTCAAATAATTGTAAAAGATGAGCTGAAGAATCTGGTATTATAGCCAAAATCCCAATTATTCAACTCCACTTTCATCATACTAAATAATGATTTGAAGTTTCAATTGAACCAGACTCGAAAAATATAGAACACGCCAAAATTGTCAATTCTAAGGATGTAGGTAAATTACCACAATAATCAATGTAAAAGAAAGAAAATTAGAACATCAAAGTACCAAATATAACAACTTTTCCAATCACAAATAATCAAAATCCAGAAACATGACAATATCTAAAAAATAAGCATCTTAGATTTAGATATAATGGGGTTGTTTAAATATGAACCAAAAGAAATAATCCCACAAATTAATAAATATATTTTTTATAGTTTTATTTATATCTATAAATATATTCCGCAAAAAAAACGCTAAACTAGCGAAAGATGAAGCAATTTTTGCCAACACAAATTCAACCATCCTCAAATGAGCACTACTCATACCACATATTACACCACTTTCCACAAATCTATCCATGCCCATTTCAACTTCAATGTCTCCTTCACTTCGCATGATTCCTCAATTCTATCTCGTCATTTTGAGAACAAACTCGCCAATTTTCTGCTTTTATCAATAATACGTCTCCATCCAATGGATTAAAAAAGAGAGAAATAGGATTAAAAATCAATTACGTTACAAAATAAAAATTGAAAGTAGGTGAACTGCTCTTGTTAAAAATGTAGTCAAATGATTTCCATGTGACATTCCGCTTATACGCGACGAAATGTTGTGAAAACCAAATTGATGAGCAACGTACAACTAAGAAATCCTGAAGAAAAAACTCAAAGTAGTTACAAAAATGCTTGGTGTTTTAACAGAACACGAGGTACAATCTATAAATTTTCACCCATTGAAAGAAAATTAATCAATTAACATCCAAATCCAATACGTTTTGAAAGAGTAATGAAAGAGAAAAAATTCTATATGACTGTTGATTTCTTGTTCAACACCATTTAGTAAATGATTAATTTAACAGCCCACTATTTCAAAATGCAAATTTCATGAATATACTTCTGGTTGAGCTTTCTGAATAATCATTCACGTTGATTTGGCTAGTTCCTCCCCAAGTTTGAGAAAGCCACGAAAGTGACTCCCATTTCCCTCTCTCACCAGATCAGTAAATGACCCCACTGCATCTTTTCCGTCTTGAGTGGCCGGCTGACTGACTGACTGACCTAAGCTGATCCCCGCACAGATTAAACCCGACGCCATTATGCTTGCTCTTGCCATACAGCATCCAATTAATCACCCTCGACAAATCCTCAAATATGAATTGCTCAATTCCACCAAATACCTTAAAACCTGTATCTATTCCCCCTATAGATTAATGAAAATGTCCACCTCAAGCTAAACCCACAAATTTTACCCTAAATGCAAAATGAATTAAGATATAGGAGTGGAAAGGGAGGGGAGGGGAGAACTAGGAGGGAGTGAAGACGGTTAGACTGGGATCGGTATTATTCATAAATATATAGGACAAGAGGGGAAATGTTGAAATCAGGAAATTGAGATTTGGGGTTGACGGAGGCAACAGTAGTAGCAGCCGCAGCAGTAGTGGGAATTTCGCAGCAGCATGTGGAGCAGTGACAGAGCAGATTCAAATCACTGTTTTGTGATACGAGTATCACTCTCCACATCACGTCGTCTCCCTCTCTCATACACTCTCTCCTTCTCTTGCTCTACCTTGTCGGCCGTCAATGGAGTTGAAACATTTGCGGCCTGGCCAATTCCTCTCTGCTGCATTTGGTGCAGTGCCAATGAGAAAGGAGTGGAATCAGTGGGGAATTGATAATCAGTTTTATGTACAGGATATTGAAGTTGCCGACATGTTGTGGGCACACTCTCAAGCATGAGTGAAGAGGATGTCATGAAACTTGTCGCGTATTAGCCTCTTGAATCTCTCCACATCCGAGTCCAGTCTGCCTTCCACAGTCACCACAAAGCACAGTTCACCGTGCTTGTTGCGTCTTGCGGTGGAGGTGTTGAAACGTGTTGTGCAGCCGGTGAGGCGAGCGGCTCGACAGATGCGTCTGTCGTCAGCGTCTCCAAGCAAATTAGAGTATTTTTCCTGGATCAACATCGAGCACTTAGAAGTGAGGAACTTCTCGAAGTGGAAGACTTCAACCACGTCGTTGAAGCGCACCACCTTCTTCACTGCTTTCACGTCTCCTCCACCCTCAATAGTCGAAGCATCACCTTGAACAGCAGCAGCATCAACAGCGGCAGCTATGGTGTTAGTGTCGCTATTGTTTTTGTTGTTGTTATTGGTGGTGGTAGTATTAGTAGCAGTAGTCGTAGTCGAAGGATTTGAAACATTCATTTTGCGTTATTTGGTCACCAAATTTTCAACGAAACTGCAGAAATATGATTTCAATTGTTTAAAATCGATAATTCTTACATATTCTACCAACACGTGTTTCAACTTTAACGAAATTTGGAAACCGCATTTTAGCGCGTCTTTTGACTCTTACTTGTAAACAAAGTAGTGGAACACGAAATTCTTACTTTTCCACCACTGCCATCCATTAGCTCCATCTACTGCAATTTGTGAGTTAGAAATGAGCTGATGCATTAGCTATACTGAGTGAAGATTTCTACTCATAAAATAGTGGCAAAACTTAGTTGAGAGCTTAGAAGGCTGCATTTAAGCTTGATTATTGAAAAAATACGCCTGACTACCTCTAGTGACAATTAGAGAGAACTATTGAAAGGGGTGCGGAGAAAGGCAACTTTGAACACACACTCCTCTTAAATCATTAGAAAGGTGTAAAATCAGCAAATGGTGCAGTAAATATTTGCCAACACATATTCAAACATCCCCAAGTACCTCA